AAAAAGAAAAAAAAAAAGGACCCCAGAGAGGGGGCGAATCTAAGCTGGACCACGAGAAAAAGAAAACGTATGACTTTTGTTTGTATTATTTGAATTTTGGCTCAGTAGATAGTAAAATTGGTGGAGTTAATAAATATATAGGTGAAGTCACAATTCATAGTTTTCTTATTCTGTTTGTTAAATTCACTAGTTATTTTTTTATATGAAAAATACTTAATATTTTATTTAAATTCACTAGTTATAAAATTAAATTATTAGAAAGTATAATTGCTCAGTACAAACATACAATAAATTATACACACATATTAAAATTTGAGGGGGCCATGGCCCCCCGGCCCCTACCTTCCCCACTTTAGAAACGACAATGTTTTTATTGGGTATTGTTCTTATTTCCCACAAGTTTAATTAATTTGTTTAGTCATTCATGGAAGTGATTAGTGCTAATTACTTTACATAACCTTTCCAAGTAATGATTAGTGGACCTCGAATAAAAAGTGTAGGAACCATGTTACAACCTATAACTATTAATCTAGTGGAATTTTTGTGTGTATGTAAGTAGTTGTTTATATTACGAAAGTTCTCGTTTATTCTATGCCGGGTGCGTAAGGATGGGTGGTCGTAGTCTTTTTGGGTCTGAGTTGTCTGTTTATCGCATGGCGCCACATATTTTGCATCCGTTATATTTATTCTCCCCATCTTTGGTGAAACTGTAAATGCCATCGGCTGTTATAGCAAAATGAGCAAACTCTCTATATTTTCTCATTATTTCTGTGAGATTTTCATTCACATGTCTTGTCTTTAGTTTGGGTTATATGTTTCGCCCGTGTTATTCTATTTTTTTTTATAAATTTCTATTTCTTGGCAGTTATTAATTAAGCCGTTTTTTCGAGTTTTAGCATATTGCCCTCATTGATTCTTGATCTATAGACAAGTAGGAGATTCAGCCAAACTTCTTACCCTCATCGGATGTCGTTCTTAAAAAGAAAATACATATAGTGGAAAATTGTAGTCTTATATTTAATGTCATAACTATTATTAATATAGTGTAGGAATTCCAAATGGAAACTTAATTCCATTCGGTAAATTAAAATTGAATATTAAGTAATTAGTAACATATTAATTTTACCAATTTGAGAAGAATACATAGATACATATACATAGGTACTTGGGAGGATGTAATAAATGTAGCAAAGAGAATTCATGTTTGTGTACACATTTTAATTTTAATTTTTTTTTTGCGCAGTAACAATAATGCATCGATGATTGAAACCAGACAGTGGGATTAACACAGGTCTCAATGCATAGGGATTGGGAAATTACAAAAAAATCAATTTATTTTATTTATTATTTGCTTTTATAAGTAAATTTGCAGAATTAATGAAGGTGTGCATCATACTCCATTTTTACAGTGTGTAACAATAGTCAACTCTTAGCAGGGCATGGGCGGTGGTACAATTGACAATTGGATTTAACGTGTGATGGCGACTTCTAAAACTATATTTGGTTAGGTAAATTGAAAGAATGTGAATATAAAATTATAAACAATTATTGGAGATTTAATTATTTTGGAATTGACATTTTGTTCACGGGATAGCCTATTTGTCTTGATTTTATAGGGAAAAAAATCGAAATATTTCATGTGTCATATTTCCATTTTTTGTTATAACCAACAAATGTGGTTTCCCATAAGTTTTAATTATGATTGTGCATGGCTCGGTTCGCCTCGATTTTTGGCTGAAATTGAACTTGAACCAAATATACGTATCGATTTCTACAAGATTGAAAACATGTACATTGGTACAATTTTATTAAGTTTTGGGTTTTTTCCCAATTCGATTTTAGTTATGTTTCTGGTTCAATAGTAACTATATATTAAATTTACACAATTAAAATGACAATTACTTTCACAAACTAGCTAAATATAATGAAAATACAAAATCTTTAATTCTATAGACTAAACATAATATAGATGATGTATTATACTCAATTTTTTTAATTGATTAAAATACTAGTGTCTCAATTTATTTATAAATGCTTAGAGAGAGACCGGTAATTGAAAGACAGAACGTTAAACTTTAGGGTAAAATAATGTATAAGTCATTTTATAATTTCGATTCGGTTATTCATACTTGCTCCATACATGAATCAAATAATTCGGTTTTCTAAAATAATGAGATGTGCATACGGTTTGCTATTCAAAAAGGTTCAAAACGACTCGGACTCTTACTTTTATTTTGTCAAATTATTGCGTCTTTTCGGGTTTTTTTTCTTCTCACCCCTAGTTTTAATGTTTATATACAAATTCACCTCACCATTCGAACTAATGCTTTTACTCCAATTGTTAAAACATAGAGTATTATAAATATTAGTTAACACACACCATAATTAATTAATTCTTTTAGCTTGTATGCTTGTCGATTTTATTTTATTTTATTTTTACTATAACTAGGTATGAAAATTTGAAGAGTAACTTTTTTTTACCATTGTCATAAAACACGCAAATCACTTTTTAAAGTAAAAAAAAGAAAATACCCATTATGAGTTTTAAAGAAATGGAATGAAAACTAGAAAATAAAATTGGATCAAAATCAAAATTATAAATTTCTGAGTTCGAAGTCAAAATAAAATTTCTCAATTATAAAATTTGAAATCATAAATTTTTTTAGTTAAAAAGATATATTCTTTAAGAAATTACTAAATTTGGTTTGACCATTCGTGTTCGGCTCGTTTAGGGTTCATGGTTTTTTTTTTACTATTGATATCAAGGGTAAATATTATTGGAAAAAATAGGAGGGTTTTAGTTGTAAAATTGGTATAGTTTATGAGAGGTGAATGTCGTATTTTGAAATATTTGAGGGTTTGATTGTCAAAGACTATAACACAAAGGAGATGGAAAGCAAAATTTCAAATATATGGGTGTGGTTGCCAATTGCCGTATGATAATCATAGTTTAATATGCCTTGTTTGGTTGTTAAAAAATATTAGTCTGATGAAATCAAATAATATGATGAAACCCTAATTATTTTATTGGATCTCAAGACATTCGATGAAAAAATTATATAAAAAGTAAGATAAATTATGATAATATAATATATGGTAGTCGACCCGATCAATTATTGAAGATGCCAAACATGAAACAATGTTCAATTATTTAGTTAATGATAGTTAATCTCCCAACCAAACGAGGCATGAGGGTTCATACTAGTTTAAAGAAAGTGAATGCAAAATGTGTAAAAATATCACCGCTATATTGTGAAGACTTAATCTTGTATTACCTTATCAAACTACAGTAGAACCTCGATAAATTAATACTCGATAAAAGATTAAGCCTTCACAATATAGCGGTGATATTTTTACACATTTTCTCTCGGTCCTGACTCAGTGAAAACGTGATTAAATTATTAATTCGATAATTTAATAATTCGCTAAATTAATAGAATTCCTATAATCCCGACTGTATTAATTTATAGAGGTTTAACTGTATATGATTTGTTTCAACGAAAGTATAGTTAAGGGTTATTTTAGAAATTAGTAGTTTTAAAGTAAAGCAAAAGAAATTGAAACAATCATTTATTTTCATAAATTAAAAAATAAAAAAATTCCAATATTTTATAATGTTATTTGAAAAATTTGTATTTATTTTAAATGAAAATGCATTTATAGTTAAACCTCGATAAATTGATTAATACAATTTGAAATTAGTAAATCTATTAATTTAGTGAAATTAACTTATCTAACTAATAATTAAATAGATTCTTACCGAACCGTGGCCCAAAAAAAAATATTATTTAAACAAATTTATTAATTTATGGAAATTCCATTCCAATAGCTATGAAGTATGAAGTGAATTTAAAATTTGAATTATGTATCCCAATGCTATCTTATTGGGAAAAAAGTATGGATAATAATAATAATAAACTAATTAATAGAAAAGAGTTTTGGCATGTGAGTTTAGAGTTTAGGGCTACATCAAAAGAACTTGACCTACAAAACCAAAGTCCCCATCTCTTTCTCTCTCTCTCTCTCTCACACACACAGAGAGATAGATACACACACATACACACACATTCATTCTTCTTTGTGACACACACACACACACTATACTTTAGCTGCTTTGCTTTCTTTGTTATATTCTCTCTCCAATAATAATAATAATTAATAATCACAGACCATTATCTATGTGAGAGGTTGTGAGGAAACCCCCTTCATTTTCACTTTCTGATGAGAGAGAAAGTTCCACACCAACTAAACCAGCAGCACAAAATACTCAACCAAACCCCCTCTCTCTCTCTCTCTCTCTATAGTATTTATGTATATGTGAATGAATTCTCATGTGGGGGTCTCCTCTCCTAATTTGATATTTGCTACAAATCTCCTCTCTCTCTCTCTCTCTCTCTCTCTCTCTCTCTCTCTCTCTCTTTTCTCTCTCTTCTGTGTGAGTGTGTGTGTGTGTTTTGTGGTACTGGCATGGGAAGAAGAAGCTGAGTAGTGCAGTAGTGTAACTATGGCAGAGAAACTTTTTTCATCAAAAAAGCCAAAGCGACAATAACTTGCAGTCAAATATGTTGTAGAAGCTGCAAACAAGAACAGATCACCCACCCACCACTAACCTCTCTCTCTCTCTACAGTTCTCTCTCTATCTTTATTTCTCTGTCTTGTAAATCTTCTTCTGCTCCGAAGAATTTCAGAGACCCCACTTTTTTTTTTTCTTTTCTTCTTCTCGGATAATATATATATATATATATATATTAATAAAACGACGACTCTCTCTTAGATTTTTCAAGATTTGGAAAGTAGCGACGAATCTTGACAGAGACACTTGTGAACTCTGTGTGTATGTATTTTGTATGTATTGATGTTGTTGTTCTTGCTGTGAAGATTTATTATTATTTATTATCAGAGATTCTATAGAATCTGCAGTTGTGGCTACTAGTCGGAGGCTGACTTCGGATTCCGGTGCGTTTGCGGATTGGGTGGCTTCATCTTCGGCCTCCGCGGGGGACTTATCTCTAGGTTTCAATGCGGGGCCCTCCGCCGCTGCCGGCGGCGGCAACGCTGGTGGTGGTGGTGGACCTAACGCGGCTGGGATGTGGTCTTCCGCGGCTGCTGCCTCCAGGCACATGAACTGCGGCCTTCCTCCTGAATTCTTCTTCGTCGCGCCGGCTTCTTCCTTCCAGCACCACCACCACTCGGAGACCGCCGCCGGTGGTGGTGGTGGTGGCGGCGCAGCCACGATCAACTTCGACCATCATTCACTTGGGGTTGGTGTGATCCCTCTCCTCACAGCCACCCCTTGTATTCCGCAGACGAATATCTCCGGTGGTGCTGCTGCGGATGAAGAACTGCTCAACAACGCGCGCAACCGCGGCGGCGGCGGTGGGGGAGGGATGCAGCTGTGGCAGCACCACCAGAACCAGGCGCAGAATTCTTCGGCCTACTTGCTAAAACCCATGTCTCTAGAACACACGAACCTTCTCGAAACCGGAAGCAACAACAACAATGGTGGAATTGGAGGGGGTTCATCTTCCTCAATGGGCACCGCCACGTGTCAAGACTGCGGTAACCAAGCCAAGAAAGACTGCCCTCACCGGAGATGTCGGACTTGTTGCAAGAGTAGAGGCTACGACTGCTCCACACACGTCAAGAGCACATGGGTCCCCGCCGCCCGCCGCCGCGAGCGCCAGCTAATCGGCAGCGACCCCGCCGCCGCGGCAGGCTCATCACAGTCCACCAACTCCGGCACCAAAAAACCTAGGCTCGGCGGCGCGTCTCAAACCACAACCGCTTCCCACACCTCCACCTCCAACAACACTCCCCCTAGAAGCTTCGATACCACTTCCAGCCATCAAGGTATAAATATATGATTTTTTTTTCTTTATTTTATTTTATATTAAACGCAATAACAATTTTCTCCGATAATGTAGATGGAAGTTATAAAGAATCATTGCCGGGACAAGTGCGTGCTCCGGCGGTGTTCAAGTGCGTGAGAGTAACCGCACTCGACGACGGCGAAGACGAGTACGCGTACCAGGCGGTGGTGAGAATAGGCGGCCACGTATTCAAGGGTTTCTTATACGATCAAGGTGTCGAAGGAAGGGACGCGCTCCCCAATCTATCCGAATTGCATTTGGGCGGCGGCGGGGGAGGATCAGCCGCCGGTGGTAGTGGTGGTGGCGGCGGGAGGAATAATGTGACGACGGCGGCGGTTATAGATCATTCTGATCACATGTACGCCGCAGCATCGGGTAGCGGGTTGCTTGGAGGATCAGGTTATGGTGGCAACCCCATAAATTGATCAAATTGAATCGGGTCGGGTCGGGTGAAATGACAAATGCTATATATATATATATATAAAATTAGTGTCTGTTTTGGCAGTGTGGGTAAATTAAACAGGATCTTGATCATTCTTCTTCTTCACGCGTCAGACTTTTTTAACCCTTTTTATTTATTTATTTATATATTCACTTCTGGTTCCTGCATTTTCTGGTAGATCAGTAATTTACCATTTTCGGAACAAAGATTAGAACCCTCTTCTTATATTATTTAACCACTTTACATATATATATATATATTTGCTGTATTATTTATCAACACATTTGCAAGTTATTACAGTATGAGCAAGAAGTGTACATAATAAGTACTTAAGTTCTGAAAATTTTATGAATTGAAATATGTGTTAAAGTGTCCATTTGCTGATTAACCTATGAATATATTTCTGCTAATATGTATATATATATGTGTGTGTGTGTGTGTGTGTTTTCATAATCTCCTATGTATGAGTCCATTATCTTATGTGGCTTTCACTTATCAATGGCCATTTCATTACAGGAATCTAAGCAGGAAACAATTATTGTTTTGCTAATTTAGGCGTCAACATAATACTATTTGCAATATATACATACATATAAATATGAAATATGTGCCTCAGTTAGTGTGTGTGTGTGTTTAGTTTGTTTATATGAATATATTTATTAACTGCAATTATTTGACATATGTGCGCACCTTTGATGGATGTTGATGAAGTTTTATTACACTGCATGTGATTTTGCTACAAGTTTGAGGAATTTAGTATTATCTGCTTTCCGCTATTGTAATTATTTTATATTTTGTTTGCTTTTTTTTATTATTTATTTTTGTTATTTACAGGACAAAGTCAAGATGAAAAGACTAGTTGTGTTGAATTTGGTGACACATGTTCTTTATGAATTGTTTTTCTTTTTTTCCATATATTAATTAGTTAATAAATACTGATCAAGTTTATATTATTTATTTTTCATTTTGAATTTAAAGTTATGTGTTTAGATATATATAAATGTGTTTGTGTTTAGATGTAAAAATTTGGAATTATCCATGGTCAATTTGATATGAAGGGCTAAGGTCTAGTCCTAAACCTCTAACCCTTTATCACATGTAGTTCTAAATGCTTTTGTTGGGAATCAATTCTTTTTCTTTATTATTATTATTATTTTTAAATTTTCCTTTTATTAATAATTCTATTTGTAATTTATTTATCAGCAGCTCATATTTGATCTGATAACCTTATGTACTCAAGAATACGAGGCGATTATCAGGTTACGCAATATCCAAAGCCGAAGGCATTACAGTTAGTTTGACGACGGAAATTGCTCGTATGTTATGTATATATATATTTACTAAGTGTGTATTGCATTTATACAATATATAGACGAGTGTTCGATGAATTTACATTTGTTTCCTCGTTTCGCAAAATAATTCATGTTCAGTAATGATTTGGTTCCTTAGTACTGTTTCAAGAACATCATCAATGTTCGTTTTTTTTTCTTCCTGCAACTGTGTATTTATTTTTATCCTTAATCTTCTTTAAACCATTCGCATATCGTATATGCAGTAATGCAGTTGGGCATTAAAATTGTTTGGTTGGATATCGTTTATATTAATTATGTACTTTAATTTTCTTGGCTGGTCATTAATTCTGATTTATTACATATAGCTGTGGTTTTTATGCAGGTTTCAAATAAAAGATGAGAGAAAACTCCAATTGTTTTTTTTTTTTTTTTTTTTTTTTTTTTTGGAAACAAAATTTAGGGTTTAGTATCTTGTCTTTGTGACATCAAACTCACTTCATCACTTGTTAAATTAATGTAAAGCTCAATTATGGTTGAACAATACTTTTATAATTTCATATTTTCAATGAATTAACCATGTCTTGCTTTATTGCAAACAACTTATTTAAATAATGTTTCTATAACCATCATGGCCGAAAACTAGCGAAGCTTTTGGACTAGTGTATCGTTTTCGTCGCAAAAGCCTCATTTCCGTCGCAAAATTGCAGTCGACGGTGTTGCATTTTGGCCTACTAGTGATAGGAACCCTATAGTCTATATGATGAAACATGATCTACAAATCTTTCTCCATGATTTGTAACATACTTTGTGTGTCTTATAATTTTATTTTTATTTTTCGAAAAATAAGAAAAATTAAATGATTACCATAAGGCAATAAAAAAAGTGTTACTAAAATCTAATAATGCATGCCATGATTTAGGTAGTCAAGTTGTGGTTGATGAATGGTGCCAAAGCTAATTTGGGCCTTGTATTTTCTCCGCAAACTTTGCATCATGTCTTCACTTGTGCTTAAAGCATTCTTTATTAATTAGTGGAGCTCACATTAATTTACTTTTTTTGTTGTATCCAATTGATTATTACTTTGACATTTCTTGGGTGATAAATATTTTGGTACGATTATTAATGTGGATCTGACTCAAATGTAACCTGCATTCACGAGAATTTGTAAATAAAATTTCACTAGTTCAGAATTTAGTGTACAATAATTGGAAGTAATAAACACCCGAAAGACCCCCTCTTCACGTTATACGTCGCTTTTGCACACAACTCGACCTTGTTGTTCTCACAGTCGCTTTTGCTTAAAACTCGAACTTGTTGTTCTCACAATAGTTCATTCATACGCGCTCTTGGACTCCCTCCAATGCTAAACACGGATCGACATGTTCCGAGATACCCAAAACACCGATCTTCTTTATGTCCTGATCGAAGATACCTGTACTTTTGCAACACCTAATGTGCAAACAAACAGTGTTACACATGGTACACCCTTCAAAAGCCTATAAGTTAGGATTTTTCAATTAAAGGTTCAAGGTTCTTCGTTGGTTCTTTTACCTTATATAGCCACATAAATAAGCCTCCTAAACCTAGTTTGATTCTTAAAAAAAATAATTCTAGGACATGGAATCCTCCATGATTTCTACTACTTAAGTTACATGATGATTAATCTTCTTCCTAATTTAAAACAATTATAACGAAATAAATAAAATCCTTCAGAAATATACATCTAAAAATCGGACTATAAATAAATTTTCTAACAAATGCATGAAATAAAATCATTGTCAATTCTAATCAAATTTCTTTAATCTCAATTCTCGAAATCTAGTGCCAACATCATTGTGTAACCATTGCTATCCTTGAGTTTACATTATAGTTAAGAACAAGACAAGAGAATTTGATGAGATATTCACAACAGCAATGTATTTGTTTTAATTACAAGGGTAAATTACAAACACCCCCCTGAGGTATGGCCAAATTACAAAAACACTCCTCTTGTTTGGATAATTACAACCACCCCCTCAACTCATCAAATTTAGTGGAATCTTCGAGATTATATGGAATATTATCACTTTTGTACCCGTTTTATCCCATTCAAACTCTACATTATGAAGCAAGATGACCATAATATGTGATTTTTAGCTTGTATATATCAGTTTGTGGTGCATCGAAAACTGTATTTTTTACACAAAAAGAGTACAAACTAGAGCACATTTCACGGAATCTAGATGACTATGTTGAATTTGGCACCATAAAGGTGGAGGTCTAAGAAAAAATCATAGTTGAGGGGGTAGATGTAATTATCCAAACAAGAGGGGGGTTTTGTAATTTGACCATACCTCAGGGGTGTTTGTAATTTACCCTAATTACAAATAAAATGACAAATAAAATTTATAAAATTTCAGGTACTACCATTGATCCTAAAATAAATTCGTGTAGGAAACACTCTTGCACTATATTTATATTATATTAAGGACACAAAAGCGTTCACAACTTTCGATTGTGCCCTACCAATTCGAACTCGTGAAATTGGCTCTAATGCCACTTTAAATAACCTAAAATTAAATGGTGTTAGTTCTTTGTAATATTAGTTTGTAGACAAAGGGAAGTTTGGAAAATAGAAATTAATCACAACTTCTAATACATACATACATAATGTAACCCATATGTAATATAATCGAATGATTTCTATTGCATTATGATGTGCTTACTTTCGTTGTGCATGTGAATATAATAATGAATTTTATTAAGACTAATTGTGTCTTAACTTTAAGAGACAACACTTGCAACCAAACATAAAATTTATACTTGTCTAAGATCAATCTATGTCTGAGTAATAATTCGAGTATACAATCGTTCTTTTGTTTCTTTCTTAAAGAAAGCTGCTGACCAACTATCTGCCTTGTCTTGATCTAGTATATGTGTATAGTCATCGTATGTGTACGGATAAGGACTTCTTCGGTTACGTATATCAAATTAATTCAGATTTGATCGGGTTCGATTACTTCGCAATTAGTAGCTAATTAATTAGTTAGTAAGATGTCTATTTCACTAGTTTAGATCTTGAATTTTTTTTTTAATAAATGGAAGTTTTTATTGCCAATGTAATCTTAGATGGGCTTCATCTATGGGCTTATGCAATAAAATCATGTGGGCCTAGTTGCAGTACAACCATAGAAACCTAATCTATTCGTTGGATGTGTTCATATGTAGCAATTTTGTTGTCATCTCATACTATAAAATTTTTATTTATTTTCTTCATTAGAAAAAAAAATTATTTATTTATTTCAATCATACATTTCCAGATAATATTTTTTTCGTAGAAAAAACAAAAGAAAAATTGTAACACTTGCCTTACAACCATTATCATAGTGTGCAAAACGATTCTGAAATGTTAATGTCGTTTTGATTTTACTAATACTGTTTTGCCTACAAATCTGATTTTCACGTATTTATTCTGATTTTGGCAATATTCAAAGTAGGGTTGTTCATGGGTCGGGTCGGTTGAATATCGGCCGATAATCGGCCCGACCCGACCAACCGACTATTGCAAATATGCAAAACTATTATCGGCCCGATTATTGTGGGTCGGGTAACGGTTGGCAACCGACTTTGTCGGTTGTTGAAATAGTTCGGTTGCAAATTATCGGCCGATATCGGCCACATTAAAAAAAAAAAATCAGATTTTCAATTTATGAGGAAAAAAAAATACAATTCTCATTAAATAATTCTCGAGAAAAACTTCATTTTTTTTTCACTCATAAATAGTATTCTAACAAATATAAAGAATCCCACATATTTATGTTATAGATATATTCTGGCTTGTTTCTTCTCGTTTGGCTTCTTTGATCTTTGTTTAATGTGAGATATACAAAAAAAAAAAAAAAAAAAGAAAAGAACGAGAATTCTTCCTGGACAATCAATAAGATTCTAATATTTGAAAAAAAGAGGTATGATTCAATGATTCAACTACTTCAAATACAAAAACACATTCTAAATATTAGCATCTCCCAAAAACTCAAATATTATTGCCCAAAAATTAAATGTAGGGTCAAAAGGCTGGAAAAAAAAAATAATATAAAAATAAAAGTCGGTTGGTCGGGTAATATCGGCCAACCGACTTTTCAATATTTCAAAAACCATAACCGACCCGACTATGCATGGGTCGGTTGATATTATCGGCCCGACCAGAACGGGTCGGTTGATGGGTAATTATCGGCCGCAATAGTCGGGCCGATAATGGGTCGGTTGTCGGGTAAAACCGACCCATGAACAACCCTAATTCAAAGCACGGACACTGTATTCCTTTAGGCTAGCTTTCTAATCCAACTTAAATCAGCTATATTTGATACCGTGTGACAAAATTATGCATGAATGAAACACATTTTGAATTTTAGATAATTAAATACATCAAAATTATGAGCAATGTTCATTTATATCTTTCTCACACGACATTCAATTTTGGTCATGCAAGTTTGATTAGAAAGCTAACTCAATAAACTACAAATTCTATATTTCGAATTCTGCAAAATTTAAACTAAAAAATGATCAAAATCACATTTGAAGGCGAAACGGTATTATCAAAACTCAAACGACATTTATCATATTCCGACCCCTTTTTTTTTATAATTAGAAAACAAGAAATAGATAAAATGAAGAAGGCATAGATAAAATAATCTATTAATTAGCATAATTTGTCCTAATCTTATGAATTTACCCATTTTATTAGTAATTAAATTACCTTTTACCTTAAGAACAGAAAAATGACAACATAATTGCCGCCACTCAACCACCGTTTGACCCAAAAGGGCAAAAAAGGAAAGTCAACACAAAATGCAGAACGTACAACATCACCTCCCAAACGTACAAACGCTGAAGCACGTGCTACATCCAATATATGTGATCCACACCACCGCCACAGCTCCTCGGTTTTTGCCCCCCATCTGGCCCCCCTCTCTTTCTGGAATCGGAATTATTCCCCAGAATCCCTCATCTTTTATTCGTTTTTTTCCTCTGTATATTTCTCCATTTTCGTTTCTCTTTCTTCCTGTAGATTAGTATATATCTGTATATATATAGATCTTCACATTAGGGTTACAATTTTTTTTTTTGTTTTTCCTTCTTGTTTCGGTGTATATAATTGACACAGATCGCCATGTCTGCACCAGTTGAAATCATTGGACAGAATCTAATTGAGGATCTCCAGCATCTAACAGTTGAAGATCAGGTTTTTTACTAATTTCCTCGCTCTCTCTTTTTTTTTTCATATTTTTTTTTATTGATTTTGATTGGGTGCGAAGGAGAAAAATGTAATTCAGATGATGATTTGTTATTACTTTGTTATGGATCGAAGTATTGAATTCGTTTTCACGTGTGAATTGAGGTTTAGATGATTTGATTTGATCGGATCTGTTTTGTTCTGTTCGTCCTGGATTTGATTGTTTCATTTCCGAATGTGGAGAATACAGATTTAATTCGTTCATTTAATAATATAATAAAATGGACTGAATTGGATGATTTGGATTTCAGAATAAAATGAAGGGGAATTGTACAGCAGCAGTGGAGGAGATTAACCGAGTTGAGTGCGATGCTAATGATACTACTAACAACAACAACAACAACCATCACGGGATTTGTGCAATATGTTTGAATAAGATAGTGCTTCAAGAAACTGCTCTTGTAAAAGGTTGCGAGCATGCCTACTGGTTTGTCACTTCTGTCTGAATCTCCGATTGATTTACTTGTACTGTTTGTCGGACGCTTAATGAAATCCATTCTTTACGAAATTATTATTGAGATTAGTTTCTGTTGTTTACAATGGTAATTTGTTGGGGAATATGGTAATCTAGCCTGTTAACACGTCTATGTAGTGTGAAAGTGATAATAGTATGTGTTTGATCTTCTCTTGGTGATGATACTAATTGGTCCCTTTTTTTTTGTGCTTTTTGTTTAGTGTGTCTTGCATCTTGAAATGGGCTTCGTACAAAACGGAACCAACATGCCCCCAGTGTAAACATCCATTCGAGTTCCTCAATATTCATCGCGCTCTTGATGGAAGGTATACCAAACTTTCTTACCCATAATTGTTATTTTAATTTGTATAGCCTCCTTATTGTTGCATTGAGTTAAAATTTTAAGGGGTAAAAAAGGGATTATACTCTATCGGGATAGCAAGTAAATCTGATGTTTGTGATATTGATACACTTTAAAACACTAGAATATTGGACGAGGGTTCCAAAGCATACTGTAGTTTGTTCTGTAGTGTCTGTATCTTAAGAAGATGTTATACCTTTTGAACAGCATCCATGACTACATGTTCGAGGAGAGTGTGTGCCTTCTTCTAAGGGCGTCATGGTTCAAGCCTCTGGTTGTGGTGGAGCACAAGGTGGTGGATGAGGAAATAGAAGACTACTATTACGAGTACGAGGATGATGAAGAAGAAGATTTAGATGATGAGGTTTACTTAGGAGGTAGTTCCTCGAGCCTGCGCATAGGAAACCGAAGATGGGGAGACAATGGGTATGTTAGAGGAGGAAGGCAAGAGGCGAGGCCAGTAGTTTACCGCCCGAACCTCCAAGATTCTTCAGGTGCGGGCCCGTCTCGTGAGCCCAATAAGAAGAAAGAGAGTGCGGTGAATGAAATAACGGTGGGGCGGCGTGCGAAACGGGCTTTGAAGAGGGAAGCTGCTGACAAGGTGGCTGCTGCTAAACATCAGCAGCTTTTGGTCAGGTTGGGCCGTGTTTAGTAAAAAGAAGGCAAGAAGAACTCTTGTGCCAGGTGATTTGTACAGTGGTATTTCTCATTCCTTTTTTTTCGTATGTGAAATAAGAGTTGCGGGCTGAATAATTTTATATTTGCCTAGGCCCGGCCTGTCTGGATTTAAGTTGGTGTTGCCTGTTTGTAGTGAACTAATTCTAATTCAAGATTCATCTTCATAGTTTCATTCTTGAATTTCGTCGAATGTTACCTGTGTATGAACTAATTATAATTCAAGATTCATCCTTTTAGTTTCATTCTTGAATTTAGTTGGTGTTGCTGTAGGTTTCTTGCTTTTTTTAGGCCTTTCTTAATGGCCGTACATAGACAACTAAAAGAGATGTGGTGAGGGATTGACAAAATTACGATTTTGTTGCGAAGCCGGCTCTTGATTTAGGCCTTGTAATATCAATGAAATGATATGAATAACTGTTGAGGCGCCACCAAGTTACATATTTACCCTTTACGAGTATAGGTTCATACGTATTTTACACACATGTATATAGTTTGTGATTGTTGTCACATACCCCATTCTTCCATCTGTGGAAGTAGTTAATTTCAACTACTACATTCTCTTTAAATATAATTGTTCCCATGTGAGTTATAGTTGGCAAATAATTAAAAAGTTAGTAAGCTGCTGGCACCGAATCATGTTCGGTTGGTGCGACAAATTTCTAATTCCTAATTTATTAGTACTTTTGTTAACGATACCTGCTCAAAAATGACTGTAAGCATTTATTTTAATTAGTGTTTATCTCCTAATTACGAAATGATTGCAACAATATGAAGTTGCAGTATATAGGAACAATTTACGGCACAACAAACTGAACAACGAAAAACGAAACACCATTCGACAAAGTTGTTTGCAAACACATTCTACGATGGTTTATCATACCTTAAATTGCGGCGTTCGATAAAAAAAACATATATACTAATTACATCCTCCACATACTACACAAAAAATCGAAACAAAAACAAAAACAAGAAGTTCAAGTGGCAGAACCGCAGAGTCGATAGCAAATATGAACGAAATACACCTATATATATATACTACTTATTACCCAGCAGCAGTAGCAGAGTATATATTAATATACATATACAAGAGAAGTTAGTTCCATGGAGGAGAGGATGGTTTATACACAAAATCTTGAGTTGTTGATCCATAGTTCAAATCCAGGCTGTGTAGTTGTTCCATCAATTGAGACCTTCTTTCTTTGAAAAAATCGAGACGTGTTGTCAATTCCACCAAAGTCGAAGATGCCACTGATTGATGACGAGGATAATCCATCCCCTGTCGTCAAAATACAAACATTTTTTTTCGATTATCACTTTTAGGTGTTTGTCGTAAAATTTCAGTTTTTTTTTAGTAGACTACTAAAATTGAATATGAATTATTTTTTCGTAAAAAGTGTGCGTTATTTACCTCATGGGGCCTAGAAGTAGAAGGCATAGAAGCAGAATCGACAGCAGGAAGATCGTCGATGGATAAACTTGTTGATGCCTCGGTACTTTTATTAGAGTCGCTCAAGCTCGCCGATTCGGTCAACTGCTTCCTAGAAGTCAACCTACTACTCGTCTGCCCTTTACCGTTTCTCATATCCACCCCCAACAACTCCTTCAACCAATCATCACGTGTTAGATCGATAACATCACAATTTATTATTAAAAAAAAAAAAAACGAAGAGCAGTCAATCACCTCTGTCCTTTGTTTCCGTTCATGGTTACAAACAGCAAGCGTCGTATCAAAATCTTGCTGGAAATATTTCCTGCATGTCGATAAAAGCCACTTCAGTATGAATCACGTTTTATTTACATTTGACTCGTGACAAATGGCGGTTAATTTAGTAGGAAAAAAATCGAGAAGGTATTTATTTGACTGACAGCTGTGAACTAGTCTGAATTGTTGTATCGGAGAGCGATCCGTAGTGATGCTGACGTTGCTGATTTAGCTGATGGTGAAGTTCGGCAACTTTCTGCTTCAATCTTGCCACGTCAGCCTCAGCTAGAGCTATCTCTTCCAGCTCAGCCCTCGTCTTTTTTGAACGAAACATTTTAGAATGCTACATAGTAATTTTCAATTGATTTTTTATTATAGAAATAAAGAATCGATTAAACAGACCTTGGAATCCATGCCACGAGAGCCGGAAAATTGCGCAGACGACATGCTCAACCCAACTTCCAGGGCGGCTCGTAAATCTCGCTCAGCTTGCAGTTGTTCTTGCAATCTTGCTACCTATTAAATAACAAAAAAAATATTAAGTGTATTAATTACGAGTACCGATTGGCGATTGGTTTAGTAGTCACAAAGTAATATATACTTACATCTTGTTCAAGGGCCAATCGACGCTCGTGCAAAGCTTGCTTCCTTCTTTCTAAGCTGGCTTGCAAAATTGCGTTTCCTCTCGCCTGACGTAATACACGAAAGAGACGAATCCATTACCGAAGCTTAATAATCACTAACGTAATAAACCGAAAAATAACCTACCTCTTTTGCAATCCTGTGGCGCAAATCATTCTTTGCGATTTCCAATCTCTGGATGGCAAGCCTACAAACGAAGCCATCGAACTTCAATACGACGAGAAAAAAAAAAGCCGAACGAGAAGTAAAAAGTATGATAAAGATAAACTTACTCTTCCTCTCCAGAAGAATCAATTGATTCTGTCGACGGAGTTTTTCTCGTCTGTCAGAACAAAAAAAAGATCAGCTTGCTTGATTCACAAGATTTATCGATACAATGTTCAAAACATAACTCTAAATGAATACATGTACTAAGGAGGGGAAAAGACTCACGTTTTTCTTTCCCCAAAATGTTGACTTCTTGGAACTGCTAGAAACGGAATTGGTAAGTTTGGGCGTTGACTTGTCAGCCGATAGTTCGGTTTCGGGAATCGATTGATGCAGCTCTTGATTCATAGATGATAAGATTTGTCCCATGGAACGCTGTGAGTCGTTGCCGTGTATTTCCACAGAAGCAACTGCCATGTTTTCGCGTGCCTTCAGTTGCTCCAGTTGTTCGTTAACCGCTACATTAGAAGAATCGGTACGGACTCTATTGTCCGATGTTGGATTTAATTTTTTTCCCACGGAACGGTTGTTCTTGGGAGATCCATTGTCTGAATCGTCATTTCCGATTGCCTGGTATTGGCAAAATTACAAGCAACTTCAGTAGAAAGTTCTAGAGAGAGAGAGGGAGTGTTTGAGAGAGAGAGAGAGAGAGAGAGAGAGAGAGAGAGAGAGAAACCTTGTAGTCATAAAGATCGCTAGCGGCAGAGCCACTGGTTTCACTCAACTTCCCACTGTGCCTGCGGTCACAATCGAAATCTGTTTCGAGGTCCACTTCGTTTTGAGCATCATGATAACCATTGACTTTCATGTCTGGATTTTCATCATCGCTCGTGTCTTCACTCCCACTGTTGTCGGTTTGAGAATCTACAGACATGGAGCATCTGTGCAGAGTATCGTCCTGAAAAAATAAACCATAGCAAAATATATTCCCCGTACTCCAAATTTAGAAACCCGTAACTGTAAGAAACTGAAAAGGAAGCGAAACTTACGTCAAAAATACTCTCGTACTCCTCGAGGAGAGTCGAGATAATGGCTTGGGCATTATTAGCGGCATTGGCAGCGGCAAGAAGCTGAGCCGAGTTATCTCCATTAACATCGTATTCGTCTTCCAATTCACATTCGCCGGCTAAAAGAGGGCGTAGCAATAACGGAGCCATACAAGCGGCAACTGCTGATGATGTCATCCGATTTTCCGCCGAATGAGAAGCAACCGTATGCATCATCTTCAGAATTCTACAAAAAAGGTACGGTCGTTGATCAAACTAAACACGTAGCATAACCCCGACATTTCCGAATATTGTGCGAGCGTAAACAGGTGATTGTACCTCTGTAAAAGGCGTCTATTTGGTTCGGGAAATGCTTCGTGTACCGCAGAGCGCATTGCATTCACCTGGGCTTCTTTGCGGTCGATTTCTTCTCGAGACAACCACAAAAGTAAGGAACCGTGTTATTCACAAACCAGTAACAAACATCGGAAATAAAGGATGCGAAACATACTGTATGCTTCCAACAATGCAGTGCAACAGGATGCAGGGACGGGCGACGAAGGCAGCTCCCGAAGAACATGCTGAAAGGAGAGATAACTCTCATAATTAATCATCGGTTAAAATGAAATTAGAAAAAAATAAGTAATCGAATGGCGAACAAACCTTAACACAGTCGCCGATAACATGAGCATCCTCGTCAGGATTGAATTCAGTCTTGCCTACGATCAAGAAACATTCGAAATTGTCATACTGCGTAACGAACTTTTTTATCTTTTTTTTTTATTTGGAAAAAAACTTAAATCATCGAAATTGTAAACAAAAAAACCTTGTTCATATTCTCGAACTCTTCGTTCCACTTCCTCGACATCAGCAGACTGACGCAGAATACCTTCTACTTTAATTCCTGTTAAACATAATAGCTGTATATTCAGAATAAATCGCAACTTGGTGTCAACTTATCGTGGTTCGTTATAATTACTAAAATAGACAGTAGGTATATACTACGACATTTAAAATTTAATTCCGAAATATGAATAAAACAAACAAAGCTGTTTTCTGTCGGAAATAAGCTCAAAGGGGTTCGGTGCCAATCTAAGCTTACCATACTTCTCAAGAAACCGAAGTGCTTTCTCTAAGAAAGACGGGCCTCCGTCTATATCTTCTAATGCAAGCAGAATCGGGCGTCCAACAACTAAAGATTTCACCGGGCGTTTGTCTCTCCCTAAATGTAAAGGTAAACCATCAAGATTCAAAATTTCCATTTCAAGAAGAAGGTCAAAGAAAACAAACAATAGGTACAAACATTGATTGAAAGACCCGTCGATAGTATCATTAGCCTCGCTTCTAAATATTCCGTTATGCCCCATCACAAGAGCGGCATTTGGCGCTTGAGCAAGAGCGTGTTCGAGGGCTGTCTTCCACTCGTACAAATCCTCCGATGTTTCTGCCTGAAGTTTAGAAACACGAAAACGTAAGAGCCGATTATCACTTATTACAAGCAAAATATATAATTACAAAAGCGGACAAGTTTTATGCACCTTGAGAGTAAATGCTCGTCCATCACGCCCGTCGGGAAACAGAACAGTTAGCAGTTTCTTGTCTTCTCTGACAACAACGCTGCACATTTAAGGATGTCAGAATTCTGCATACAATAGAGAATCGATGAAGAGAAAGAGAGACCACTTATTCATTATTACCTTCCTGAATTATTTAAATCGATGCCGCCCAAAGTCAAATTCACTTCACCTCCTCGTTGCGGGAGTGCACTCTAGATTAAAAAAAAAAAAAAAAAGAAAAAGGTAAAGTCAATAATAATATGAAAATGAAGTCCGAGTACTTTTAATACATAGTAGATAAAAAATATGGCGATGTGGATTGGACTAACAGGGTCGTTCTTGAAGAAAACCAAAGAGGTTCGTGTAAGAATAAACCATCGCTTCTTCCAAGATTTCCACCCTAATCCTGCAAGAAGTTCAAGATAATAAAGGATACATAACACAAACGACAAAAGCAACCACAAAAAAAATGCATAATATTTACATTTGTTTCAATGAAGAGGAGGAAACTATTCATTTATCTAGTGTAGCACACGAACATAAGCGCACACTTAAATTAACTCGTTTACCTGTCTTAACAATAGAAAAGTATTCTATTAATAAAGGCACATTTTTAGTTATGCAACATTGTAACTGCATAATCCAACAGCTACTGCAAAGACGAACTAATCTAGGGTTCGAGATCCTTAAATAAAGGTTTTAGGCAAGGAAGTGTATCGAAGGATAGATCGGGTTTTTACCCTAATTTCCTACTTGAGGGAAAAAAACGAACTCAAAAACGATCTCATAAAATAACCAAGTTCCTTCATTTGCATAAACTTCGAGCCTCAGAAGTTAGTGAATTGGATATTAACAGTCAACAAAAACTCCAATCATACTTCCCTTGAATCTGATTCTGAGATCCCGGTTTTCATATCGACATGTAAAGCTGAATTGACCATCATAACATACTACAGTGACCTAATACTACGTACAGTCATCCAAGTTTGTTTTTTTATCGAAACAAACTTATACATTAGCAATATTATATACCACACACATCCATTAAAATGCAGCTGCATCAAACCCTAACAGCACAACAACGTAATGTTGATGCCTCGGAACACAAACATTAACCAATGTACTAATAATAAGAGGGCATCAAATGCGGGCACGAAATTCGACATTAGCACATTGTACAACAAATCCAAATCTCGAAGATACGAAAATATCTACTTCGCAACTACGAAGGAGCTACACTAACCTTTCGAAGATATGAGCAGATGCCCGCTCTTGAATATCTGCGAAATCGCCCGGGATAAAAAAAAAAAGTCGTTAAGAATCGCAATAAACCCGTAATGTCGAAAGATTGCCAAACATAAAATCAAGAAAAGGGCAAACAAGAACTGAACTTGACAAAATTAGTTGACTAAATTTGACTAGAAAAAAACTTCCCCAATTCGGCATCCCTCAATTCATCTCTTCCGCATTTCATTCAAAACCCCCAAAATCAAAAATTGAATAAAATATGCGGGAAAAAAAATTAAGGCATTACCGTATTTGAGTTGCCAATACGTGGGCGTTCAAATGCGGCAAGAGAAGCCGACATTTTTCACCCCTTTTTTTCTCAGAGTTGGGTTACCATCTAAACTGGGAATTAACGCCGGGTCGACCCGGATCGAACTCGGGCAGGAGGAATCGGAAAAAGATCTGTACAAGTAGAGATGGATGAACAACCACAACGAACGAACTGGGTCTTCTTTTTTCTTTTTTTCTTTAAATTTTTTTTATTTTTTTTCTTTTTCGAACTTTTTGAAAAGAATGGATAGATGAGCTACAGCAGGTAGAAACCAACCAGAGCTGGCTTTTTCACAAGGCTTTCCCTTTCTTGTTTTTTCCTTCGTGTTTATGTGAATGGAGGTGGGGTGGGGTGGGGGTTGGGGGGTGGTTAGGTGGGGTGGTACTGTAATAGTGGTTGTGGCCAGTAATAATACTTACAGTTATATCGGTTTTTTTTAATATTAATAGGGTTAAATACAAAAACACCCTTGTACTATGGACTTTGTATCATTTACCCCCCTGTACTACACATAAATACAAAAACCCCCCTGCTATTATATTTTTTTCAAAATCTGACGAAAATGCCCCTTCTAAACATATAAATATAAGGATTTGTTTGAGCCATTTTCCACTATATTTTTTAACATTTTCGGTCAATTTACTTAGGAATTTTTTTTTATTTTTTTTCCTTCAAAACATATAATTACTTAAAAAAAAATTTAAATTTTCTGAATAAAAACCTTTTATTTTTGTCATTTTGAATTTATTCATTTTTTTCTTAAATGTCTTCCGGTAGTTCAAATTCTCAACAATAATAGGATTGTAAAGATGTTTGTAATCTTAGGATGTTTGAACTACCGGAAGGCATTTAAGGAAAAAAAATGACAAAAATAAAAAGTTTTATTTAGAAAATATAAAAAATGTAAGCAATTAGATGTTTTGGAGAAAAAAATATTAATGTCAAAATTTTCAACGTAAAATTGACTGAAAATGGTAAAATATATAGTGAAAAATATATATATATATATATATATATATATATATATATATATATATATATATATATATATATATATGCTTGAGTAGGGGTATTTTCGTTATATTGTGAAAAAAATGCAATGTGAGGGAGTTTTTGTATTTATGTGTAGTACATGGGGTAAATGATACAAAGTCCATAGTACATGGGTGTTTTTGTATTTAACCCTGGGTAAAATTCATTTTAGTCCCTGACATTTGCAGGCAAAATCAAATTCATCCCTGTGACTTTAATTGGGTTCAATATCATCCCTGGAATATAATTTTACAGCTAAAATTCATTTTTTCTCCCAAAATACCCATATTACCCTTTTAAAACCTGGGCACTAAAATGAAACTCAGCCCAAATGCCACTTTTTACTCTACAAAATATATTGAACTAAAATTCTATTTAATAATATTTACTAAAACTTATGGAAACAAATCAACAAATAATTATGTATAGATGTATGTTACGAAATTAACTCAATTTCTTTTCATGTCAAATTTGTTGCTAATATTTTTTGTTGGAAATTCATAATAATTTTTTGGTTTTGTAAATTTCTCGTGTAAAAGTTTGTTTTTCCCAAACCCCGTTTTTTTAGGTATTTTGGCATTGTATTTTTTATTATTACTTTTGCCCCCCTAAAGTTTTTGTAAATATGTGTCTTAATCCTTAATTTTTTTTGTTTCTTCTCCACAATACTATATAAATTATACTTGTAGATATTATATTTAATATAAAAATATTTAACAAAATGGTTAAAATTTGTATTTTCTATATAATATTTATGAATATTTACTTATTTTGGAATTTTTTATCGGTGTCTCTTCAAAATAATTTGAGACGATGCCATTAATTTCCAAAATTTTTAAGTGCAATACATTAAGATTTTTTTGTCATGCTTAAAATATGATAAAACTATAATATATATGCTATTTTAATTAAAAGTTATCAATATAAACTTATGTTTGCTATGTCTTGTGAACATACAATTTTTTTCGAGGCGCTGCCCGGACCTCAAAATTTTAGTTAGCCCCTCTATATTTTGATCCTGGTTCCGTCTATGCTTATGAAATTAATTGTTACAACATATGGAATCAAACTAATGTTGTTATAGTCTAATGTGGTAATTCACACAGCCAGAATGCAGTGTTACTAAAACATGTTTTTTTTTTAAAGCGATAATGTTTTGTAATATTTAAGTTTATGATTTTATTTAATTTTGAAATTTTTTTAGTAGAATAATCTTTAAATAATATATTTTTATTTGTATTTTAAGAAGAAATAATTTGTACTTTAGTAGTTAATTTATGTTTAAAGATTTGAAAAAATAATTTGCAACAAGAATTTGAAAAATAAAATAATATTTGTGTGTATTTTAGATATTGTTTGAATTAATGAGAAAAAATAAGTTTTAAAATCTTGAAATGTTATTAATTTTATTTTGTGGTGTTCAGCAAAAAAAGTATTAGGGCTGAATTTCATTTTAGTCCCCTAGGTTTTCAAGGGGTAATATGGGCATTTTGTGAAAAATGATTGATTTTGGCAGTGGAATTGAGTTTCGGGGATGACATTAAACAAAATTAAAAACACAGGGATGAATTTGATTTTGGCTGCAAAGCTCAGGGACTAAAATGAATTTTACCCATTTAACCCTTAATATATTAATATTATTAGTGTATTTGTTGCTTTTTACCTAACCTTTGGGCCGCGGAAACGTGACTCGTTCTTCAAGATTGTCTGTCTCAACCTTTTTACCGCTGTCATTTTTTTATTTTTAGTTTTTATTTTTATCAATTCAACGAGGTTTTGTTTTTACTCTTGTGATAATGATTAAGGTCACCTTGAGTTATGGTCAAATTACGAAACTCACCTCATATTTGAGTAATTTCTGTTATCCCTTCAGCTATATATTATCTTACGAAAAGATCCCTCTAGAGCTAAATTTATGGATGTTAGTTCGGTAAAATCGAAACGAAATTTCGGTACGCCAACTTTTCATACAGTGTACCAAACTAAATATACAATTTGGTTCACTAAATAACCGAATTACATAAATTTTATGTAAAAATATTTAAAAGGAGGGGTGGCTGTAATTACTCAAACAAGAGGATTTTTTCAGTTTTGTTCATAAAGTTTGCACCTATTCCACATTTGGTCAACTATGTTCACAAAAAGTCACATTTGGTCCCTTATGTTTCAATAATTTAACATTTTTAATCATTTCCGTCAATTTACTGTTATTCTGTCAGCTAATTCATTGATGGGCATACCCTCGATTCCGCTAGCTTTAATAAAAAATTGACTGAAATAACTAAAAGTGTTGAATTTTTGAAACATGATGGACCAAATGTAAATCGGTGTTAATGTTAAGGGATATAAACTGTACTTTTCCCAATTATAATTTATATATTATTAACTTTAGTTGGAACTTTTTGGGGTATTTTTTTTAGATGGAGAGAAATGCCAAAGACCATAGTCCAAAAGAATGTACAACCCTTAAAGCACGGCTCGTCTACCTACTCAAGTGTCTGTTTATTGTGCAATAAGAGTTGTACTGTTGTTTGGTAACAAATATTAACACAGTGGTTGTGGTTAGAAATTATGGTATTAACACGTATTCAAGTGTTGAACCGTAAGTGGTCCACGTATACACTTGAAACATGGCCAGCTCATTATTCTTAATTTCAATCAATTAATCAGATTTTTGCTTTCCGTATGCCACGTCAAAATCAGCCCCCCACCCCCCCTCTCATATCCGCTTTTCTTTTCCATTTATTAATAATTAATAGGTTAAATTACGGCCACCACCTCTGAGGTATGATCAATTACGAAACTCCCTCTCATGTTTGAATAATTATAATCATCCCCCAGTTATGTGTCTTCTTACACGTCCAACCTTATGGTGTCAAATTCAACGTAATCTTCTAGATTTCGTACAATGTTCTCTAGTTAGTACTTGTTTTGCCCAAAAATTACAGTTTCTGATGCACCAAAATCTGATATTTACAAGCCAAAAGACACATCCTATGATCATCTTGTTTCAAAAAGTGGAGCTCGAATGAAATAAAACGGGTATAAAATTCCACTTAATTTAGAAAATTCCACTAAATTTGACACCGCAATGGTGTAAGTGTAAGAAAGTTCATAATTAAGAGGTGGTTGTATTTATCCAACAAAATGATTTTTTTTTTTTTTAATTTGACCATACCTCAGGGGTGTTCGTAATTTACCCATATTAATATTTAGGGTAGATTACAACCACCCCTGAGGTATGATCAAATTGCAAAAGGCCCCCTTCTGTTTGAGTAATTACAACCACCTCTCAACTATAAATCTTCTTACACGTCCACCCTTGCGGTTTCAAATTTAATGGAATCTTATAGATTATATAGAATATTCTCAATTTTGTACCCGTTATCTCATTCGAGCTCCACATTTTGAAGCTAGATGATCATAAGATTTGTTTTTTGGTTTGTATATATCAGATTGTAGTGCATCAGAAACTGTATTTTTGCATAAAACAAATTCAAACCAGAGAATATTCCACGAAATCTAGATGATTATGTTGAATTTGAGGACATAAGGGTGGAGATGTAAGAAAATTCTTAATTGAGGGGTTGATGTAATTATCCAAACATGAGAGGTTTTTTCATAATTTGACCATACCTCAGGGGGTCGGTTGTAATTTACCCTAATATTTATTTTTTACCTTAGGCCTTTTTGGAAAATCCACACAATCAAAACTGAAAATGAAAAGTAAATTTGGTTGCATTTTTGTACAGTGAATGTGGCGTCAAGGTCAAAATTTGCTGCGGCGGGCTTCAAGCCGCCGGCAGCAGCTGCAACACCGCCCCCAAATTACCGACGTTCGACAATTAATCACGGGAGCGGCTTCTAGCCCTAGCTTGTCGATATGGCGGCGGAAGAAGGAGATGGGAAAAGAGGGGTTAATGGTGGCGAAGGAGCTCAAACGCCTGCAGTGCCATCCGGTGCGGTTCGAGCGGTTCATGAAGACGAACGTTTCCCGCCTCCTCAAGTCCGACCTCGTCGCCGTGCTCGTCGAGTTTCAGCGCCAAAACCTCGTCTCTCTATCCATGAAGGTCACCGCCAATTTTTCTTTTGTTAGTAATTTTTTAATTTAAATTTTAATTAGTGGATGGGCAATTTGACACTGCTTCCTTATTCAATTCAAATTTGTACTTTGAGTGATTAATTGGTAACTGTATCGTTTATCAACGAAGACCTAATTTGCAATGAAGAATGAGCAATGTGTTTGATTTTTTTTTTTTTTTTTTTTTTTTTCCGTTGCGCTTCGATTTTCCTGTGGTTGATGTATTGTTATCTAGGAGTTACCATTAACATTCATTTCTGTAGTTTGAATGTAGAATTGTGATGTAGAGTGTCTATTCTCACAATAAATAATTTGGTTGCCAATAGAATCCGAGAAACAGAGATTGTGTATTTGTTGTATACAGATAATGTTACATTCTGGTCTAACGAGAATTTCGTTGAATATCACTTGATCCGCTTCAGGATGTGATATCGATATATCACGTGATTCAATTCTTAGTTGTGAGAAATTTTCGATACATCACTAGCAGGAAGTTTGAACAGTGGACGTTTGTTTTAGGGAGATTGAATGCTTTGATGGCTCTGATTTTTCTTTTAAACTTTTTTGTCGCTTTAGCAAATTTAGTTTCATCTTGTTATGCATCTCTCTTGAAGTTTGGCATTAGTTATTTGTTCGAGAAGTCATAATGAAACTTATGATAGTATTTGTGCAGAGAAAGATGGCATCTAGGCTCTAGAAATAAATGGATTTACGGAGGATTATTTATTTATTATGATCAAAGTTATGAAATAACTGTACTGTGGTTATCCAAGATATACAGACAACTCCATATTGCACTTCTTGAACGTTGTTCCTACATTGCAACTACAGTTAAATTCATTTGCTGATTCCACTCACGTTTTTTCCGTGACAGCTGTACGAGGTGGTGCGGAAAGAAACATGGTACCGGCCGGACATGTTTTTCTACCGGGACATGCTAATGATGCTCGCAAGAAACAAAAGTGTGGACGAAGCAAGAACAGTGTGGGATGATTTAAAGAAAGAGGGAGTTCTTTTCGATCAACACACATTTGGGGACCTAATGAGGGCATTTCTTGACAGTGGATTGCCAGACGAAGCAATGCGAATATACGATGAGATGAGATCTTCTCCTGACCGCCCACTGTCTCTACCTTTTCGCGTCATGTTAAAAGGGCTGATACCCTATCCTGAATTTAGGGAAAAAGTGAAGGATGATTTCTTGGAACTTTTTCCCGACATGTTTGTTTATGATCCACCGGAAGATGAAGATGGTGATGAACAATGGAGACTGGAGAGCGAAGAAGAGTAGCAGCTATAGATAATCTCCAACGTAGATGATCGAGAACTTGTTGAAGATTGACTGAATTGATCATGGCAGAGTTGCTAATATAGAAGGTGGGATCTTGACAGTATGTGAGGTATCGTGTTTGCTTATTACAGCTTGTATTTAGGATGACAGCAAGATCCTTAAAGGCAACATTCTGGAGCTGAGGTATGTTTTGATCATGCATTAGAGTATTTGTTGTTTTAAGTGGTAAACGGAATATCTAGGCCTTTATATATATATATATATATATATATATATATATATATATATATATATATATATATATATATATATAATACAAAAGTCATGTTAAAAGATTTTACATGAGTACAAGGGCAGTCATTAAATGATAGGCAGGGGTGTAAACGAATCAAGTCATGGTTATTTAAACATGTTTGGATTTTTATCGAGCTTTTGATAGTTGTGTTTTGAATTCGTTTGGATAAGCAATCTAGTTTAGCTCAAATGGGCTTCAATCGAGCCAAACGAGAATCGAGCTCGAGAGGCTTGATTTTTTTATTTTGCTTTATCATTTTTTTTCTTCTAATTGAGTTTTAATTATTTTTTAACGACCGATCTTGAATCGAGTAGTTTGCTTGCTGCTCATTCAACTCATGTTAAATTATTTTGAGAGCTTATTGTAAGTATCTGATAAATTAAACAAACACTAAGTAGAGATCTTACAATATATCTTTTTAAGAGTGTATAAGCTCGTAATTCGTTTGTGTTATTTATATTCGTTCGATTTTCCTTAGGCATGTTCCTTTAAAATGTTATTCTTCAACTTGTCAACTACTAGTAAAACTTTCAACTTGTCAACTATTTCCCATGGATAACTAATTTCTTTTTAAAATGTTTATTTTCTTCATATGTTTACATTGATAAGAAAATAGATAAACGACCTGTATAAACTATAAACGATCAACAACCAGCCATGCTACAAATTATATGAAGTTTGCTGCCTTAAAATCCTCCCAACCCTTTATTCTTAGCTTGTACAGTTTTCTTTCTTGCTATGATAATAATATTTATTATTATTATAATAATAAATATGAAATTTGTAAAGAAAAAATAAATAATAAATAATGTTTTAGTTTGCATGGAGTGAAATAATTTTAATTTTACCGATTCAATAACTAGAGTTATTAGAAAAAGAAAACTGAGGACACTAATATTTCAAAAGAAATAAAGAAAATTGTGTGTTATGCCTGAAAATTAAAGAGCAACACATTTGAAATGTAACAAGTTTTCATACATAGACATGTGATCAATCAACTGGTAGAGATGGGCGAAGTGTATTATGTATACCACTATCATGAACGATGTTTAATTCCCATATGGCCATATTATATTGCAGAGAGAGAGAGAGATATTACACAATCAACATGCTTTGACTTTTGGGTAATAAACCTAATAAAATGTGTATATTTTAGTAAAAAACATAGAATGTGCTTAAAGTACCCTTTTCCATTAATTTTATTTTCATTAATTAATTAATATTGATATTGAGAAAATAATAATTAAACATTATACTTTAAAAAAATGCATTATTAAAATTTTAAAATTATATATAATATAATTTATACAATAAAAAAAATCTCCAACAACAGTTAATTTGAAAATAAATGAAGTACTCGCTTTTTAAGATTTTAATATTAGTTTTAGAAACAATTTGGGAAATCCGAAAATGGTGCACCAATAACATTAGAGAGAGAAAAGAAAAAAGAAAAGAAAAAAAGAATTTCTCTCTCCTCTTTCCCCCATCCTATAATCTCTCAAATCCAATACGGAGTTTCCACAGTGGGCCTCTCTCTCTCTCTCTCTCTCTAACCATCTCTCTCTCTTCTCTCTCCTGCGCCCGCCCATGCATGGTTTTCTCTCCCTCTAACAACATTCTCAACAAGGTTTCCTCCTCCTCCTCCGGGCGTTCGTTAATCCTCCTCTCTCATCAGTAAATCAATAATGGGCATCTGCTGCTCCCGGAGCAACGCCGACGACGTCCCGCCGGACCCCTCCACCGACATCGCCCCCTCACCCGGCGACTCCAGCACCAAAAACCCGACCACGCCGCCGCGCTCGCAGCCGCCCCCCGCCTCCTCCCCGAGCCAGTCGACGAAGCCGGCCAAGCAGACCCCGATGGGTCCCGTCCTCGGCCGGCCGATGGAGGACATCCGGGCCACGTACACGATCGGGAAGGAGCTGGGCAGGGGCCAATTCGGCGTCACGCATCTCTGCACACACAAGCAATCCGGCGAACAGTTTGCGTGCAAGACGATCGCGAAGAGGAAACTGGCGAACAAGGAGGATATCGAGGATGTGCGGAGGGAGGTACAAATCATGCACCACCTCACCGGCCAGGCGAACATCGTCGAGCTCAAGGGCGCCTACGAGGACAAGCACTCGGTGCATCTCGTCATGGAGCTCTGCGCCGGCGGCGAGCTTTTCGACCGTATCATCGCTAAGGGCCACTACACCGAACGCGCCGCCGCTTCCCTTCTCCGGACCATCGTCCAGATTGTGCACACGTGCCATTCCATGGGCGTCATCCATCGGGATCTCAAGCCCGAGAACTTCTTGCTCTTGAATAAGGACGAAAACGCCCCCCTCAAGGCCACCGATTTCGGCCTCTCCGTCTTCTACAAAGAAGGTAATATAACATCCACCGATTTCGTTTTTATCTTTCGTATTTTCATCCGTATTTTAGGACGAGAAAAAATTCAAATCAACGAGAGTTGACGAAAATTAAGTATATTGCAACAAGGCCAGAATCTTTAGTAGTGACAACGATCGTTCAGTTGTCAATACATTATTCCAATTGTGCAATTAGAGACAGGACAATAATAATATTCGATTCTGGTCGTTCCAAAAAGTTATTGGATTAATTCGAGACCCGATTATTTAATAAGAAATCGTATTTGGCGATGGCAGGAGAGCTATTCAAAGATATAGTGGGGAGTGCATATTACATAGCACCAGAAGTGCTTAAGAGAAGATATGGTCCAGAAGTTGATATCTGGAGTGTTGGTGTCATGCTCTACATTCTTCTTTCTGGTGTTCCTCCTTTCTGGGCAGGTACATACATCTATCTATCTATCTATCTATCTATATATATATATATATATATATATATATATATATATATATATATATATATATACACATACAGACACACATATATGTATTCTTGTATTACTATCACTGTGTGATAACAGAATCAGAGACTGGGATATTCAATGCTATACTAAGGGGGCACATCGATTTCTCATCGGACCCGTGGCCTTCGATTTCAAGCGGAGCTAAGGACCTCGTTAGGAAGATGCTCAATTCCGACCCCAAGCAGAGGCTCACTGCTTCACAAGTCCTAAGTATTTATATATATTTATTCATTCTTAACACAAACAGTAATCCCTCCTTTTTGTTTCTCGGAAAAAGAACTACGGTAAAAGGGTAAATTCGGTATTTTACGTTTACAGGTCATCCGTGGATCAAGGAAGATGGAGAGGCACCTGATACACCGCTTGACAACGCTGTTCTCAACAGGCTCAAACAGTTCAGAGCTATGAATAAATTCAAGAAAGTTGCACTGAGGGTACAAAACAAATTCAAAACATATTTTTAACATGGTACGAGGAAAATAATCGAAATGCTAATTATATTTTTTTTGTCACGAACGTAAAAAAAACAAGGTTATTGCCGGTTGCCTGTCGGAGGAAGAAATCATGGGACTGAAAGAAATGTTCAGAGGCATGGATACAGATAGTAGTGGTACCATAACGCTCGAAGAGCTGAAGCAAGGATTGTCGAAGCAAGGAACTAAACTAACCGAATCTGAAGTCAAACAGTTGATGGAAGCTGTAAGTTCAAACACATACATACATACATACATACATAATATCATAAGAGAGCATCGTCGTAATTTAAAAAACGAAGAAACTAAATAAATATTTTACGGCATTTATTTATATTCTTCGAAACCAGGCTGATGCTGACGGGAATGGGACCATAGACTACGAAGAATTCATTACAGCAACAATGCATATGAACAGAATGGACAGAGAAGAACATCTTTACACAGCATTCCAGTATTTCGACAAAGACAACAGCGGGTATAGTTATACTCAAACATCATTCTATTACAACTACAAACAGTATTTTCAGTACACGGATTCGTGTTTTTCTTTTTTTCTGATCGAATTAACAACGTATTACTTAACCCTGGTTAACTTCGGTCTGGTCAGGTACATTACCATAGAAGAACTAGAGCAGGCTCTCAGGGAGTTTGGCATGGGCGACGACAAGGACATTAAGGAAATCATCTCTGAAGTCGATGCTGATAATGTAGGCAAACAAGAATTTTGCAATAAACGTTCTTTTGCAATATATATCGACGAGTGAGTAATTGATAATTTTTTTTTCAAATAAATGCAGGATGGTCGGATCAACTACGATGAATTTGCAGCTATGATGAAGAAAGGTAACCCAGATATGGTAGCAAATACCAAGAAAAGAAGGTCTGGGGTCTTTACTTCCTAGTTTGCAGAAGGCCAACATTAGGAGGAGATGAACTTTATTTATATAAATATATAAACATATATAAAAAAAATGTATATTACCTCAATTTCTTCATCGAAGGAAGGCATATTTACTGCAGGTCTCGGAGTTATTAATCTGTGATAGGCTTTATGTATATTGTATATATCTTTATATAATATATAAAATCATGTATATTTATTAATGTCTTTCAAGAGCTAAAATTTGAGGGAAAATTGCTTTAGGCTTCTTTTGGTTGGTTCACTTCGTTTGTTACTTGACCGGCGCAATCATGTTGTTTGGTTACGTATTTCCAAATTGAACCCCGTTTCCAATTTGCCAGACATAAGGTCTCAACTCTCATCTCAGTCGCAGAAAATTTTATATGAAAACTTGACAGATATTCGAGTTTACTTTGAAACTGCACACACGATGATGTTAACAATTCAAAACGGGGAATAGTAGCACTAGAAAATTGTTAAATGAGCTAAGTTGAGACTCGGTGCCAAGAGCAACTGCTAGAATCAGCTCAAATCATATCAAAACATACGTAACAATTCAATGGAGGGGCCAGGATTTTGTTTTTGCGGGGGTAAATATACAGTATAAGTTCTCTAAGGTCCCGACAATACTACACTAATCGAAAAATAACAAATCCCTATGTAATATACTAGATTTTGTTAGAAGCAGTGGGGGCCATAACCCCCCCACAGCTCTTCCATGGCTCCGCCACTACGTAACATTACATGAAGATGCATCTACTAGCATCCGATACCAACTCCTAAGTCCTAAATGGACTGATTCGGTGTTTCCCGGTTTTGGAAACCATAAATATTGTTTTACTGCCCCAGTTGCGGAATAAATTGTCAAAGTTTGTTTCTTTTTAAGTTTGTAAAAACAGAACATCTTGAACTGTAAAACGAAAACTCACGCTTGTTTAAAATCGTTGTGCGATCTTGACGACAGTATGTATGTACATATAGAGAGACAGGGAATGCAACATTCAGTAGTACTACAGTAATTAGATTTAAACTGAGGCAACAACGATTCACAAATCAGAAATTCGGTAATTCGAACTCCGGTTTAAACATTAGATATTGCGTAGGCTACCACGAAAACTCATAACAAGCACAAGAAAAAAATCACAGAAAAAGAAGGAAAAATTAAAACTTCAACCCAACAATAAATTGTCAAGTTTTTCATCAATCCAACGATTCAAATTCAAATTTTTACACCACTAATCAAGATTAAAACCATCTTCCCTAACCTTTTTTTTCATGATTTTCATAGCGTCGAAAAGTGGACTCTACTTATCTTTAGCAGCAGAAGGAGTACCAATCCCGTACTTCTCCTGGAGCTTCTGAATCTCCTCCTCCTTCTTCCTCTGGTCAAACTTCTTCCCCATCTTCCCCTGCTGGTAATACAGAACAATCAGGTACCTGTTCGCCACGTTGAACCCCGACAGGTGGTCCACCGCGGTCTTCGCGTCGTAGATATCCTCGTACACCACGAAGGCGGTGCCGCGCGTGTCCTTGTTCGTCCCGACGCGGATCTGCCGTATGGCGCCGTACTTTCCGAATATGTCGTACATCTCCTCGCTCGTTATATTGAACGGTAGGTTGCGCACGTACAGAACACGGTTCACCTCCGGCGGGAGGCGAGTGTTGCCCTTGCGGAGGCTGATTGCTGCCATTGATGGCGAGGTTTTTCTGATTCTAGGGTTCTACCACTGCGAATTTGGGGATTTTGTATTTTATTGCCGAATATATGACGATATTGAAAACAACTAATCTGAATTTAACTACATAAGAAACGTCCTAGTGTTGAACCAATACTACTTCTTATTGGATACGTTTTTCTTTTTCTTTTTTTTCCTTAAAAAATAATTAGGGTAAATTATGTTCACCCCTGAGTTAATGTATAATTACGAAAAACCCCTTTTGTTTTCATAATTATACAACTGTGTATTGTCTTGCACGTCCACACTTACAATATTAAAATTACCTAAAGGGTGTTCAAAGGTCCGTAAACCGATCGAATTGAACCGAACAAAAATTCGTATCGTACATGCCGATTACCGAACCGTAAATTCGGTGTGGTATTTAGTTTTATTTTATTATATATTACATATATGTATGTAATATTAGTATTTAAACTAAAATTAATTTTAAAAAAATAAAAATAAAAAATCATTTTTTTTAATAAAATTTTGGTGTTTCGGTTATTTATCGAACCAAACACTAAATGATACTCCCTCCGTTCCTTTATAATTGTCGTTTTTAGCTTGTGCACAAGGATTAAGGATCTCAATGAATGTTGCTTAATTTTAG